GCTTTGGGATCGCATCACTTTCAGACGCAAAGGGGGCAAAGATGAGCTGGTCATTTTGTGATCTGCAGGTAAATCTGGGGGTACCCACTTTGATGCAGGTACACACGTTTGTTTGTTTGAGAAAAATAACTTGTTTTGCTGGTTTCCCAATTTGCAGTAGTTGCAGTGCACACGCATGTGTGCCATGATGTGCCATGGTCACAAGATGAGTTGTACACCCAAATATGGGATCGCCGTACATCCTTAATAGGGATTTCATGGAATTTACATGCCCATTGTAAGGATTCCCCGAAGGGGATGGAACATACATCACAAAAAATCCATATTTGATCGTCACAGAGATACCCGGCCTGGTAAACATACAAATAGCTATTGAAAATGGCCATTTACAGTGGATTTACCCATTAAAACATGGTGATTTTCCATAGTTATGTTAGTTTACCAAAGGGTACTGTATGTGGATTTATCAAATCGTCCATCGAAGAACTGGACTCCCCCGAGAGTAGCTGCTAGACAGATGAAGTGTTGAAATATCTTAAACCTGAATAATCTATCTTGAAGCAAAGTTGTTGGTAAGCCCTCCCATTTCCACCAGTATCATCATCATAATCATCATCATCATCATCATATTAATAATAATAATCATCATCATCATCACCATTACCATCACCATCACCATCGCCATCATCATCATCATCATCACCATTACCATCATCATCATCATCATCATCACCATCAATATGTTTTAATCACTGTCAGTCATACATAACATGTATGTATGTATATATATATATATGCATGATTGTATGTATGATTATTATAGACTCTCTCTCTCTCTATATATATATATATATGCCATGAACCTAAGATAACTATCTCAGTTCATCCCCGGAACCCCATCCCGACGCGCCCAAAGGGCCCAAAGGGCCACGGGGCCACGGCCGCCAGTCCCAAGTTCATGGCTGCCACGTTGGAGGGGCTGCAACTCCACCTGCGCATTCAGGCGAGGTCCTGTCGGAGTGTCGGGGCCAAGGGAAGATGGAGAAAATCGGGATCAAGAGGATTTCATAGATCACTACTAGAATGGATTCTAACTTATCACTATTCAACACCACTCTAGAATGGGAGTTCAATGGGATAGAATGGGATTTTAGAGTGATGTTGTTGTGATTGAGTGGGGATTTAATTCAATGAGATTTAGTGACATTAAGCCATGAAAGAAAAACATAGCCACAGAAAAAAAGGTGCTAAAACATTCCAAGTTGAGGCAGTCGAAGGGCAGGCACACATGAAGTCACCAAGTATTGAAGGGAGCTGATCATCCCTTTTGATATTGAGGGATGATCATTTCAGCCATGAAACATACCTTGGTATACCTGGGTTCTAATAGGGAGTTACCATCACTATTTGTCAAACCATTTCATGCTTCATGTGGGGTTGGGTAACTATATGAAGTCCTCCCAAATCACCAATAGGTGCAGAGACTCAACCGAGCTGAACTTAAGGATTTTGAGAGAAGCCATGTGGAGAAAGTGCAGATTTAGTTGGTATGACCAGGTGAGTGTGTGCAATCATGACGACAATTTGAGCCATAGATTTCGACACAGTACTTTATCTACAAAAAATGCAGGATTCCATTTCATATTCAACTAATAATGGGCATTTGGTAAGACTTCAGTCTCAAAGGCTCGCATTTATTGATCATTGAGGACTATTGAGGACTATTGAGGACTACCTTTCTATCCAGACTTTGGGGTAGTCCCCATTAAATAAATAGAGCTCCCATTTCACGCGTGTTTGGATAAATAGTACAAACTGATATAAATTGTTGATCAGTTATATGTCATTATATATATATATTTAAATATTATAATATATATATATATATTATATAATATATTATATATATATTATATATATATATATTATTTATTATATTATATATTATATATTATATTATATATTATATTTTATATAATATATATTATATATATTCTACATATTATATTATATATATATATATTATATTATATATATATTATATATATATTATTTATTATATTATATATTATATATTATATATGTATCATATCCCACAAACATGTCCCATATTATGGAAAATTATGCCTTTTTGTCGTAGCAAATTCAACACTCGTTTTCGTACTGCATCAAAAAAGCGTTTTTTTTTGTGTGCAAAATCAAGAGATTCCCAGGGATATCCCCCCTGCTATGGTTATCACCTCATTTTTGCTGGGTACCCTCGGGTAATTTAACTTAGCTATTGAACATAGCCCATTTACAGATGATTTACCTATAAAAAATGGTGGATCTTTCCATAATGTTAGTTTACCAGAGGCTAAACTGCCAAAGTATCCCCATGAATGGCACAGGTTCCCCAAGTCACCCGCTCGACGAGTTTCGTTGCTTCAGCCGCCCGACGAGCCGCGACGCCCCTGGCCGTTCCGAGACGCGTCGCATGGCGTAGCGGCGTAGCGTTGCCGAACGCCGGAATGGAGCAGGTCCGGTGACCGGGGCGATGGGTTGACAGGGGGATACTGGGATGGATATGGCTTTGTGAGTCAATTTTTCCCCTAAAAAAGCAATTGGTAAACATCAAAATAGCTGGTAATATCTCTAAAAATTGTGGTCCCATAGGTTTTGATCCATATCTATCTATCTATCTATATATATATATTATATATAATATATGATGGGATTTATCACCCATGATAGGTAAGTTGGGAAAGATAACTAGGCCAACCATTAGATTTATGGCAGAGATATCTATAGTTGGATGGGTTGAGAAAACAACTTTTGTATCAACAATAGATGGTCTTATACAAAAGGATATAACATGACATACACATACAAGCAACTGTATATATAAGAGTATATGTGAATTTATAATTGCAAATATATATATATATGTGTATTATGTATTGTATGTATTTTATTGTTTGCAGATTCACTACAATTGTTTATGTATTGTATTTATTCTATTTCTTATAGTTCTTTTTATGTCCCATTTGTTATAGATCTATATGATTAATTATATTTGTATATGACTTGGATGCATCTCAAAATGATGTATACCCCAATTTAGATGTTTTTCTTTCAGTCATGACTGTTTCAAAGATGACTGCTTAAAACCATGGGAGTTTGGAATGCCCCCTTTTCAGAGAAACTTATATGAATATGAGACAACACTACTACCCGGCAAAAACCAATGATTTGATATTCACAATGAATAATTTGGATTGCCCAAAGCTCATGGAAAGTTCTGGAAATGACGATGTCATCGTTTGCTTCATGTTTTCAGTGATGTTTCTATGTTGGATTGTTGCAATCATTCGCTGGAAATCTTAACCAGTGCAGCACAAGTGGCAGGGCCGAACCAGCAGAGTTTGACAACTTTTTTTGGTGGCGCCAAAGGAAACATCTAGGCACATACTGTCAATACTGTACTGTCATGTACCGTCATTTTTTCTAATATGTCCTTTGTTTATCTTTGTTTGATTTGTGGCTTTATGAAAGGCAGGAAGGCATCAATTGGATTGAAAACCGAAAGGAAACTCCAGTGTGTTTTTCATCATCCCATGATCATGTGTATATTTTCATTTGTGTATTGTACTAGTACATACTTGATATGGATATGCTATTGAAATCATTCACTCTGAAAAATCCGTGCTTGCTTGGTCAACGCACCATGTTTGTTGGCGTTTGTCCCTATTTTGGTGAAACCGTTCGACGTTCAACAGAATTTCAGCCTGGTTATATTCACATTCATTTGGTGCCAAGGATTTTCACATCCGAAGAATATATAACCCCCGCCTCAATAAAGTGCCCCCGTTCCAGGACTGATTTATAAACCAACCAAAAAATAAAATGGCGTCAACATTGGAGTGCCGACGGTGTTCTAATACGAACTTGCTCTGAAGTTTGGCTCTTAAAACTACAAGGTGGTGCCCCAGTTCGTTGGCTAAGTTGGTTTGTAGTAGCTATTGTTCGATGGTTTCGTAGACCAACACCACCTTGTAGAATTTTCAGATCATCGCAAACTCGAACTTCAAACAGTTTTCCATGAATACCCCCTGTAAAGCTGACGTAGATCATGTTCTTAAGGGTTTTCCAATGGGTTTTTCACATCTTGTTGATTCTTTTTGTACGTTTACCCCAGTATACATCCTGTCAATTGAGGTTTCCGGAACGGCGGATGAACTTTGAGTTTTATAGTTTTAGCATATTTTGCTTCAGATCACCTCAGGTCCTTGGTTTCAGGTTTTTTTCTGGGTGGTTTTGGGGTAGCTGGGTAGTTACTACCCCTTTCTTTATACTGGCAAATTATCTTGGTGAAGGGGGTGGTGATTTCAAAATCAGATGACAACATATGGGCCAACATTATAATATTTGATCATATATACATACGTATATATATATAATATGTGTATATATATATATATTGATTATATACACATTACATTTACCATTTACATTAACTTACAAAAAAATAGAACCAACAAATTTATCCATTTATCATATTTCATCATGTCTATTTTAGGGTATACATCGGTATTTATCATTTACCATTTAGACAGTCCAATGTAATTCCATGTATAAGCCCATTAAATGATAGTTGTTTTTTTTGACCAGTTTAGTTACATGTTTAACTAGATTGAGAACCAACCATGTTCCATTGATTCAAAGTTTGACTATAGAGACTGATTTCAGACTATAGAGTTGCCAGTCTTAGCGTCAGATTGGACGACTTTAGAGTTTTTTTAAGGCTTATCAGGATTATGCATAACCTATGACCTGGAGGTTTCCTAAGTCATGGGGGTACCCCCAGTCTTCATCCATGTTATTTTCGGATTTTCCATTGTAAACCATCCAGCTATTGGGGGATCCTCCATGTATGGAAACCTCCATATTTTTTGCCCATTGACATAGTGATTTGGGAACATCTCCCCATGTTATACTTCTATTGGGGGTCCCCCATGACTATGGAAAACCCCACCTGGCTTAACCTGCAGGTACCGTTCCCGGAGGAGTTGTCGCCGCAGCGCTGGACAGGCTTGCTGCGCCAAGGGGCGCGGCAAAATCTACGGAAGGCCGACGGTTGAGTTGGGGATTTCATAGGGGTAGAACGAGTATAACTATGGTTTATAGGAGGTTAACTCTATATATATATATATTTATATATTATAACTATATATATATACATATATACATGGATATGTATAAAGATGCAGTATAACCATGATTTATTATACAGGGGGGTTAATCCTTTGTATATTATATAGATATGTATAGCGACTGACTTACAGTTAGAAACAAGATTGGAAAAAAGTCAAACAATGGCGGCAAATTGGTACCTACCCGTTTCCAAGTGTACACTTAGAAGCCAAACAAGTCAACAATTGAAACAACTTATCATTTGTTTCACTAACACTTAGAAACTACCCTAATTGTAACATCATATTTTTCATTAACACTTAGAAACTAATTATCATATTTTTCATTTAGAAACTAGTAAACAATTGAAACATGCTACTTTGTGGGCACCAAAAGTATCATTGTGTTAAACATGTTGTTGTCAATTCCCTAGAAAAGTATCATTTTTATAATTGTGTTTTATCAATTTCCTAGAAAAGTATCATGTTTTATCATTGTTTTAAAACAGTTTCCTAGAAAAGTATCATTTTCTGTCGATTTCCTCGCAAACCCATACATACATCCACGCATACATGCACATCTATTGATAGTGTGAACTTGTTCCGAAGATATGTAGATGTACACAATATATATATATGCTGCCAGGCTATCATGGAACTCGCAGCTGTTTCAGCACCCACTTTTGTACCATGGTGGATGGCTCATCCCTCTTTTGACTTTCAATCTTCAAGGCCATCATGGAATGATTCATGAACATTTTTGTCACACCTTTGTGGATAGTTCATTTCCCTCTGCTTGCAACCTGCCAGGCTATCATGGAGATCTGAGGGACCACCTATATATTTATTGGAACAACTTGGCTGGTGGATGGCTCATCCCCCTTGGTTGGGCTTGCAGTTTGCAAGGCTATCATGGAATGATTCATGCTGCAACTTGGCTGGTAGCCAGGTGATATGCCAGATAGAATGCCAGGGCTCAAGCTGGCAGGTGCTATGTAATTTTTTTGTGGAGGTTGGATGCCAGATAAAACGCCAGGGCTTGCAACCTGCATCCCCTTTGGTTGGATTTGCAATTTTGGTGCTGGCAACCGGGTTGTTTAGCTTCAGGATGAGACCATGTTTGCTGTGAAGGCAACTCCAGCTCCAGCTTGCGCTTCGGCTGTGCAAAGACTGGAAAGATTGAGAGAGGCGGACCTCGTTGACATGGGACCACATGTGCATTTGAAGCCGCGTGTCGCGCCAGGTTTCCAAAGCTGCTGTGAATGCCCTTGTGTACCCCGAAGTCCGAAGTGCAGTCTTCCAGTAGAGTGGCTTCGCTGGAAAGACCGATCGTTCAACGCGGCACAAACTTCGAAACCTGAAAAGCATCAACAATAGCAGCCTTCTATTCTTATCCATTTCGGTGCCATGTCCAGCCCAACAAGTGGCCGTTCAAAGTGCCAAAGGGTGCAGCAAAAAAAATTGCAGAACTTCATTGCTCTGGAATTCGTTTGTCAGATGCCCAAGCAGCCGGAGTTAGATGGATGATCATGCTAACTCCTAGTTTGATCTTGCTTGTTTCGGGTCTGCTCGTTTTGATACCCGAATGCATTTAATTGTCTATGACTACATTCCGTGTCAGCAGGTTGCAATGTCATAGCCAAGTGAACATCAGCCCTTCACACAGCTGTTTGGCTTAGAAAGCACATCAAGGCGACAGAACTCGGGCAAAATACTTTCGCACCATTTTGGATATTTTGGGCCCTAGTTTGCGAGAAGTTGCAGCTTGGCGGAATAAGTGCGAATGCCATGTCAGACCTCGAGATTGTATCCATGTGTGCAGCACCCGGTTGCAAAAACCATAACCGTGCTATTGTGTTTTCATGATGTTGTGTCCAATGATTTTCTCCGGGATTATTGACGTGAGTTGGAGGACTCAAATTCTCCCCGAGCTCGAATGCGAAGAGCTTCCAGAGACCAAATACTGGCAAGGCTGGCCCAAAGTCAATGTGTTGTCCTCTATTTGAAACACTAGTTGTGCAATGTGACCGCTTGGTGGGACACCCGAAGCAGCTGAAAACGCTTAGAAGCTTACAAAGGAAAGAAGTTGAGACTTGAGACGAAGCATTCCTTGCGAGCAGGAAGCATTTAATTTCAGACAAAGCTTCAAGATGGAGAAAATTTGCGGATGAAGTTTCTAGAGTTTCCGAGAGTATTTTTGAAAACGGTTCAAGATGGGATCGGGGATTCTTCAGAGTCGTAAGATGGGAGGACTTGACAGTAGTAGTGATGAGATCAGATCAGTAAGATGTGCTACTACTGCTTTGTAGCTCTGTTGCAGTCGACGCTGTGAGTCAACTTTTGAGTCAGAGATTCTAGATGATTTCCAGATGAGTTTCCCAATTCCGGATGGGAGAAGGCTTCAAGTGAACATGTCTTCGAGGTACCATGACCACCTCGGAAGTTGCAATAATTCGCAGGAAGCTCAGCTCAGGTTGCAAAATCACCGTCGCATTGCCAGAGAATGACATGTCATGATAAGTCATTCACTCGACATTCACAAGCCAGTCTCACTGTCACCTCACTTATAAGTCATTCGTACTTCATTTGGTTTCACTACATTGTATATTGTAAATTATTGTAACATACTGAGATGTACGCAGATGTTTTGGCATATTTTGTGGCTCCGGCATGGCCAAAGTGTGCGGATTGAAATGGCATGAACTTGCCACCGCGCTGAGATACTACGAAGAATGGATGGAGAGGCGAGAAATGGTCGAACCTTGGTCCTTGACATGGTCCATGACATGGTGAAACGTCCAACTAACCACCAACCACAACCACCATCAACGAGGTAGCCACCGACAAACTGCTCTTGCATCACCAGAGCAGAGCTGATGATATCTTCGAGGCCGAGCGGTGGAATCAGCCACGTCAACCTGGCGCAAGATTTTCAATTCCAAAGTTGCGTAGGATTTTCTCGCAGCCTGAACACTCCATATATGACGAGATGTGAGATGTACCATGTGCTGAGATGCCATGGAACATGAGATGCGAATGTAACTTCGGTGTCCCTCGAAGAACTTTGGTTTAGTTCGATTTCCCTTTACAGAATCCAAACATTGATGTATATATGCGAAAATCCAAAGGACTTGCCTTTTTTGGCAAAGTAACATGTTTTCCTGTAGAGTTTCCCAGCGAACCAATAGACTCAATGCACTTGGCCATGGCTCACGAATAGGACCCACAAAAATTGGTCAATGTTCCAGTCAAATCCAACGTGCTCGAACATTCATACAGCACGATGCAATTTGACCCCGCTTTGCCACTTTGTCCAGGTAGAAATAGTTGGTAAAGTAGTTCAAACAGGAGTCTGACCATCAAATGGATATCCGGAATTATCAAATCAATACCATTCAATTCGATACCCATCTTCTTCAAACCTGCAGATTTTGAGGTCTCGCGGTAGTGACCTTTTCTTCTTGCGTTCGCTGAAGCGCTAGGCCGTCAAAGTGTGCGCAAAGGGAAGTGGAGGAAAAAAAGGACATTGATATTTATGGTTTGAAAATGGTGGAAGTTCATCACTAGAGTCAATCAACTGTTTGAATACACATCCATCGGTGATCTTGTGAGATTAGATTCTATGGTAATTTGGAAAATGTCGAAACTTGTCATTATGAACTATCGTTATAATCATTTATACTATCCGTCGTTATCCATCATCATCCGTCATCACTCTTCACTACGAAAGATCATCCATCGCTATCAATATCTATTACCCATCCGCCATTCCTCATTCATTTATTCTGTCTATCTCTATGACTCATCCACCATTCATTCATTACTATCCAGCGCCTTTATATCCATCCATCATCCATCTGTGATCCGTTTTGGAATCGACCAGCTGAGGGCGACGCCGGAGCAGGCCGTGCTGGCGGTTTCAATGAGAGTCAAACCGCAATGGATTTGAAGGTCCACGGCTGCAGCCGCGTTGGTTCCGTGGGGTCCATGGTGCACAGGGGGTCCATGGGTCGGGGGTGACACATGAGGTCGGGTGTCCATGGAGTTCAAGATCGGCTGATTTGCAAGTGGAAAATCTGAACTTTTGCGGCTCTTCCCTGCTTGACAGTGAAATCATCAGGTGGAGCACAATTCAGATAACGAGCTCTACGATGAGCCGGGCATCCTGGAACGAGTGGGAAGTCATGGCATCTCATGCCACGCCATGGCACGTCATTGGAACACCATGGCCTGGACCTTGAGGTTTGGCAGAAAGATGCGCTGGAAGGGAAAAGCTTAGGTGCTGCCTGTCTTCGTAGTCTTCGTCTTCTATCTGGTGATGGTGATTCTGATTCTGACATTTTTTCTGTCCTGATTCGGAAAGCTCTTGATGACACGCCATCCTGGCAGCTGGCACCTTGGTGTTGTCCATGATACAGGCGGAAAAGCAGTCGCCAACACAGCGGCTTAGCATCCGAGTTGTGAGGTTTGTCGAAGCGTCAAAGCCGTGGAACTTCGAGGACTTCAAAGGAAGAGAGGAAGACAAACCACCAGGTGGACATTGCCATGATGCTGCCTCCTTGTCAAGCCCTTGTACCATTGGCTTTCATGGCTTCTATTCATGGTCACCTATTTCGATCTATTGTTTGCAGGTTCGGGTTTCGGGTGCTTCAGTCCAGGCCTCAAAGTGTACAGGTCACGAAGGTTTTCATAGAAACTGATAGGATCCAGACGTGTTAGTCAAGAAAAGTGTCCAGAGCCAATTCACATCGAAGTTATTTATTTTTCTTTCTCCTCCCATCCTTATGACAGCTTCCCAGATGAGTTTGAACATGATTGAACTTCTGCTTTGAAACTTCCACTTCTTCCAACGATCCCCTCTTTTTGGATTTGCATGGTGGCCGCCCATGGCCTCTTGATTCCATGGAACCCGAGGCCAAAGTTGCTGAAGTCTGCGCTGGAGCTAAAAGGACTTGGAATGGCTGGAACCCATGACGTCAGTGGAATCTGACCCCTTGTGGTTGCAGCAAGGACCAACTGCACCACACCGGAGCCTGTGGTGGTGCCTGTTGTGCTTGCGCTTGTGGTTCTTGTGGCCCTTGCGGCGCTGGTGGAGACCAGTGGCACTCAAAAGGTCTGGCGCTCAAAAGGTACAGTGATGCTCTGAGTTGCTGTGGTCTCCACTTCCGAGGCAGCAGCAAGTTTATGGGGTTTCTATTTTTTGCAAATCGTCTTTTTCCGAGATTTTTGGGGTTCTATTTTGAGAGATCCCCACAAGAGAGTTGAATCTTCAGATTGAGGTCAAGGAATTGAAATCATGGTAGGCTCCGCTTGATTTTATTCGTGCGGTTTGACAAATTGAAGCCTTCGTGTTTGAATGTGTGCATGACATGTTGAGGAGAAGGGTGCTAGTGTAGACTGCTTTCGCAGAAGGCTGCCATGACATCAAACCATCTCTTTCCATCTAGGTTTGATGGTGAGCCGGGACATCGTAGGCATGCTTTGAAAAACGCTAGCCAAAAATCGGTCCAGTGCTGAATAGTCAGAGGTTCTATCACGGCAAAGCCTCAGTGCTGGAGTTTCCAAGTTACTTCGCTTGCAAGTCCATACATAGCTCCGTAGATGTTCGCCGCTCATTTCTTGACTTTGACTTTAATCATTCTTGATCACTTACCGGCCTGCAGCATTGGCTACATTTGGGTGCTTGAGCAAGTCACTGTAGTAGCGTACTCTATCTACAACTGCTTGCAACACGGAACTGCAAGTTTGTACTTTGTTGATTCATTCTTGTTGACATCGTCTTGCTGGGACTTTTTGGCTACCTTTCATTGTTGGGAAGTATTATGATGTGGTCGATTCTACCAAGACGTTCAACAAAACACTCGTGATCACACATGGCAGCAGAAGCAACTTGAAACTCATTCCTTTTTCTGCCCTGGATGTTGCGGACAGGTGGCGCCTTCCGTGTCGCAGGGCCGAAAAAGAGGAAGTTGCAATTTCGACGCGGAATGCATTTTTTTCGAGGGGCATGTAAATTTGTGTGGAAGGTTGGATGCCAGCTAGAATGCCAGGGATGAAGCTGGCAGGTGCTATGTAAATTTTGTGTGGAGGTTGGATGTCAGATAAAATGTCAGGGGTCAAGCTGGCAGGTACGATGTGTTTTTCGAAAAACAAAATCAACACTTAGAAGTTGAAATTTTCATAAATTGTGGAGTTTCTAAGTGTTTGCTACATTTTTTTTGAAAATTGTTTCTAAGGGTAATTAGGTCGCTGTATAAAGATTAAAGATTCTGCATAGCTATGATTTACAGAGAGTTAACTCTACATATAATATATGTATATGTATGTGTATACAGATTCGGTATAACCATGGTTTATATGTTTACTGATTCAGTATAACCATGGTTTATAGGGGGTTAACTCTCTCTCTCTCCCTCTCTATATACCCATGTGTATATATATATATATGTCGACAATTTCAGTATGACCATCGGTTATAGGGGGTAACACTTCTAACTATACAACACAATGTAAAATCTTGATTTGTAGGGGTTAACTATATCAAAATTCATTTGAGGTGTACTTTCATAAATTAAATGGTTGTTTGTAGGGATACAACCACTTCTTATAGGGCTTACTTCCTGTGCCGGGCATTCCCTCAGATTGTGAGTTTTTTGAGGATCGTGATAAGTTGTACATAGAGCACTAGAAGTTAAACTGGGAATGCAGGGAAGCTTGGAACCAAGCAGTAGTGATATGATAGCGCGATTTACAGGAGGGTTGACTATCAAAAATACGGTGATGCAGTTGATAAATGAGTGTTGGTTAATGATTAAAGCGAGTAATACCAACTAATGTAGTGGGGATTCTCATAGTGAACTGGGATTTTTTTTTCGAAACCAGAAGAGTGCAATTGCAGAGGATTTGGAACACTGCTTAAATGATTTAAGTACATTGAAGGGAACATTTACAGGGATCAGGTGGTGAAGACAATTTCAATGGACATTTGAATGATAAAGGGAACAAAAACATGGTAAACAACATTTTTTTTGGTAAATTCTCCCTCAAACCAACTGACGGATACTGAGCTGGTTTTGTCTGAAGATTGGGTGTCCCAAGATTCCACATTTGAAATGTACCAGTTCAAAAAGACTACCCTTGAAAGTAGATAGTTTGGAGTTGGATTCGCAGAAGAAGTTGCGGTCAATAGATGGAAACGTTGACCCACAGATACGCGCAGTATCTACACCATAATCTGTTCATCCCGACATATTGTGACCAGAACATACCAAAGATAATCTATGAATTCGTGAATTCTAAGATACAACGTGTGTTTGTATGTATATATGTATATACACATACGATTGGATTATGATATGTTACATATACATATTTATGCTTCACAGGGCTCCACGAGGATCCTGGTGCCTGCCGGGAACGTCTGATAGATCTTCATTTCCTACTATACAAAACTGGGAATTCATCTGGCAATTTGAAAATCATGGGATTATATTGGAATTTCGATAAAGTCTCTCTATAAATTGATGTTCCGGTGGAAAAAACAAACTACAAATGGTGGATTTTCCATTGCCATATTTCATTCCACTACTCATTGAAGGGTGCTGTTGGAAAATTCGTGCGACTACACCAGACCATTGGTTTCGCCATGAAACGCGACATGTTGGTGATGACTTTGGGGGTTCCACAATTTTACTTAAAACCGCAATTTTTTGAAAATTGACGGTTGGAGAAAAAACGTTTGGGGATGCGGAAAAAACGATCAAAAAAAAACTATTGTACATGACCATCACGAGAGTGATTTACTTGCCATTTGCTGTTGATCAGGGTGGGTGAACTGACCCATAGCCATGTATCCTTTACATAGTTTTTTTGAAACACATGGTGTGCAATGGGTTAGTAAATGGCACTGTAAAGTTGAAATTTAGTAAATACATGGTATCCCAGCCATATTCATCCCCAACCTTGGATACGTATAGTTTAATCCTTTGATTGTTTGCCATAGATGGAAATTATCATACAGGATGGGGCCCCCAAGATAGGGTTCAGTTGCCTTATAAGTGGCTGAATTCTATGGTTTATGGTAGATATAACTATAGTTAATGATAATATTCATGGGGTTTATAAATCAACTTACATATCTATGGTAGTTAATGATAGTTAATGATAGTTACACTTGGGTTTATACATATAGAATTCAACAAACATATCTGGCAACATATTATTTTTTGTGGACCAATGGCCAGGCCTATGGGCTCTTGAATGAGATGCAACAAAGAAGCACCTGGGCAGAGATGTGTTGGTGATAAGAATCACTGCTAAAACTGTACTATGTGTGTATACTGGTTACAGAGTATATAATCATACATACATATACACTATAGATGGTATACATATATATATACACATACATATATTGAATATATCATCTATAGTATATGTATGTAATTATTGAGATATGTCAGTATTATTTGTTATGTGTATATACGTGAAAGCTGACATGAATTGAATATCCCACAATGGAAACCATTGTTAAATGATGGTTAAATGTGTTGCATCTATTCATTGCGAGTCTGTTTTTCAGGTTGAATTTATATAGTATAAATGGATCTACCAAGCACAGATTGTTGGTGCTGTTGGGATCCAACTATATCCAGTGGTGCGTATCTCGTTGCAAAACGCATGATGTTGACATCTGTTGACTGTCCGGAAACTCCTCCGGCAACAAAACCAATTCATCCTGGTTAGGCAAAAGTTCCCTTCTTTGATTGGCTAAATCCCACATTTTGATTGGTTAAATCATAGTTTGACTGCTTCAGTCCCACCATGTTGACTGCTGAAATCTCCAGGACTCGCTGCCGAGGTATCGAGACCAACGCAATTCATTTCTGCACGTTGATCTCTGCCAGTGATGCGCAGGGTGATTGGCAACTGGCAGTTGACTTGTTCCCTGGTGGAAACGAACTGAGCACAGGTTTCGCCCAACTTGATTTCACCCACCTCATATCATTGGCTTCGAATGTGATGAATGGGGTTTTAGCCTCTCAAAGCTGGTTGGAAAGTCCCAGCGAGTTCGGGGATACCTCCAGTGGGATCCAGAAGGCATCCCCGGATGTTTTTGGGATGGCAGCTTTATTCAGCTGTGATTTTGCCTTGCCAATTTTGAGTGTCATTGATGTATCCAATAAGACAACACTACCCATAGGATCCATGTATGCTATATATGGTAACATTTACCATCAAAATACCCCAGTCATGCTAGCATATATGGTCCCGTCCTCCGTCTCTCCACCCCCCCCCCATGGGTTGGGTCCCCAGGTAGTAGCCCCAATTCCCTTCTATTTGCAAGCTATTGGCAGCATTTCTGAGGTCCAGCTTCGTATTTGCTAGGTCTTTGCAGCATTTCTGACTACCAGCCTCGCATTTACTAGGTACATGCTACCTTTTAGGCGACCTACGTAGCACACATACTCCTTCAAAGTACCTACGTGCTACCTATAGTCATACATACATGTGCTATGTATCTACTGTATCTACTTCCTGTTTACTACCTGTGTACTCTGACAACACTACCTCTGTTGAACATATACCGTACCTACCATACATGTCAATGATGCCATGCATACCATACCTATCATATCTATCATACATACCATACATACCATACATATGACATGTAATTACCACACCTACCATACATACAATAGCATACATACAATAGCAAGCATACATGCCATACATACCATACCTACCTTAGATAGGACATATTCCATACCCATCATAGTAACCATACATACCATACAGACCATACATACTGTCATATCAAACATACCATATCCAACAGACTTACATACCATACCTACCATCCATACAATACCAACCACTCATGCCATACATACCATACCTACCATACATACCAAACATACCATACTTTCCAAACATGCCATACCAGACCGACCATACACACCATACATACCCACCATACCATACCACACCCCCACCACACCACAGGGGGGGGAGGGGGACAGTGCCACACCCCCACCACACCACAGGGGGGGGAGGGGGAAGATCTCATATGGGACCAGTATATGGGACCCATCCACCACACCACAGGGGGGGGGGGGGAAGATCTCATATGGGGCCAGTATATGGGACGCATCCCATGGGGGGGGCGAGGGGGGGGTGGCAGGGCCTGGTGCATATATACCAGCACCATGGATCCTATGGGCTATATCCTACGAAAAATCCGGACAGATCCCACCAAAAATCCTACGATTGGATGGTGGTTTTCGCTGATTATCCCCTAGAGGCTGGGGCGTATGCATGACCTTAAACTTCAAGCCGATGTGCGAGCCAACAACAACGCCATCAGCGCCTGTCTCCTGGCGATTGGCAAATGCGACCAAAAGAGTAGAACATTGACTTTATATATATATATATATACGTACATATAATTATATATGTATAAATATATATATATATCTATACATATCCATGTACATCCTCATACTGAGGCCTTTTTTATGGGTCAAGACTTGTTTCATCAACCGCCCCGTTCTTGGCAGAGTCAGGCCACACGGACCCAGCTGAAAAGCCACGAACTGCAGTCGAGTTCCTTTTTGCTTTAACCAAGTGATGACATCGTCAACCACTAGGGCCTTATAAACACTATGGTTGGGGTGGTACCGGTAGGGCCAGCCTGAGATGTGATGTTAAGGCGTGTAATCTATTATGGGAAGACTGGAATCTGTAGGATGTTCGGGATGATGGAAAGAACATCAACCAGACAATCTGTAAATTCCAGTGTTTGACAAACCAAACCCAAAAAAGTCGCCAAACCAAGCTGTCTGTTTCAAAAATTCACCTTACATTGAAGTTATTTATAAATACTGTATATGGAAGTTTCCTAAGTCATGGGGGTACCCCCTAACCCATGGTGACTTGGGGCATCCCCATTTTAGGAAACCTCCACAATATATATATATATGTACATATACATAAGTATACATACATACATACATACATACATACATACATACATACATACATACATACATACATACATACATACATACATACATACATACATACATACATACATACATACATATATATATATTTCTAAGGTGCCAAGAGGAGCCTATGGCAGCGATCCCTGCACATTTTGGAGGAGGCGGAACCGGAGCGCCATAGGAGCGCCATCAATTGCTATGGCTAAGCAGCCAACTGATGTGTTGTTAACATGTCTTAACATGTTTCAACCATCAAACTGAGGAGGATTTATATCGACTTTATGGGTTTGTCTAAAGGTATGGTACCAAAAAACTGATGGTTTGTCAATGTTTCTCATGGTGAAAACGCCATCAAAATGATTTGAAATTGAAGGATATACCCCGTTTTCGGACACATACATATTTGGAGGTTGGCAACTATCACAGTATGGGATGATCCTGCTGATCAGCTACAGTCGTCCATGTTTGCTATGTGTTTCTAGGACAATCATAACAGTTGGCAACTGGTTTGCAAGTGGGATTGCAACTACAACCTCATTCTTGTGGGACAACTGGTTAATCATTGGGGCTTAACAATAATCAAAATCTCATTGTTGGACAACTAGCAAGTATTTGGGATTATTTAACCTAAAAGTTATACCCTCTGGTTATTTAACATGGCCATGGAAAATCCCTTATAAATGGAGGTTTAATGGGAAAATCATCTATACATGGGTTATTGTCCATGACTATGTTAAATAACCAGAGGGTAACTATAATAGATCCCATCCAATAATTCGTTTGATCCTATATTCTAACTGAGTTTCATTTTGGATCATCCCACTCAATCCAACTTAATCCCCTCTGGTCTAACATAGCTATGGTATAGATTACCCCATGTGTAGATCATAAAAATCCTGATTTACCATGATTTACCTCTCAAACATGGTGATATTGTCCATGGAAAATAGCCCATTTAAATAGATGATTTTCCCAGCTATAAACCTCCATTTATAAGGGATTTTCCATTCCCAACCATAAATGGACGTTTCTAGCTGGGAAAATCATCTATTTCTATGGGTCATCTATACCATGGCTTTGTTAAATAACCAGAGGGTGTTTACCCCTCCCCAAAAAATGGACCTGGCCACGTTGAAACTTCTCCAGGCTTTGAGCGTTCGCCGCGTTCGGGCCGACGCCTGTTCCTTTGGCGCCGTCTTGGGCAAAACCAAAATGGCATCAGCCTTGCTGACGTGGATGAAGGATGAGAGGACCGGTTTTTTGCAGGTGTGTTGAACTGGAAATCTATGTGTATATGTATGTATTATATAACTATATTATATACTAATTATATTAACTATCTTAATTATATAATTACATATACAGTATATGTGTTTGATTATAGTTAAGTAGATATATGATATATGATATCATGATATCATATATAGACATCCTCCAACATAGTTCGGGGATTTCCCAGCCACGTAGAATCCGGTCGAGTTTCCCCCACGGGATGCAGGATCAAACCCAACACCATCTGTTACAACGCAGCCATCACATCTAGTCCCTTGACGCGACGTTGGAACACGAGGTCACTGGACACCATTTTTTTGGTTGGAAACATTATGGTACAACATGTAATTCAACGTTTTACAGGGGACTCCTTTAATATGATTTCCTTGCACATGTAACAAAAATGAAGGTCATTGCTCATATGCTAGTATACACATCCCAAATTGGGGAATACACATTAATACCCGTTGCATTATATTGGTTGCATAAACATGTGTTTGGTATTGGATTAGTCGGGCGACCTAAGGTCGGTACTGACCAAAAAATTGTGATTCGCTACGAACCCGTCTAGGGGATGGACTTGCAGTGAGAAATAGAAACTAAATAGTGCATATACCCCCTGGTAAATTAACATAGACCCTGAACATCACCATTTTTTACAGGAAACTAATCTTCCAAGCCCGATGACTGCCAGGGTCGAACTGTTAATTTACCAGAGGATAAAGTTTTAAAGATTTTTAATAGGGGTACCGGGTCCGGTAGCCACAATGGGTAATTATTCGGCAAAGTGACTCACTTTTGCCGTAAACGGTCTTCTTGGAACCCCCAAGGCCCAAGAAGGCTCCGAATAACAGCCCAGGCATGTGGAACCTGCAGTACTTGCATTTTTTTCAAAAGTATGCAATCATTCAGTAATTGTGGGGTGTGTCCATGTTTGGACCTGTATAGAATTGAATAAGCTTTAGCCTGCCTAAACCCCGAGATTCCTTCTTTGGAATCAAGGGTACCATGTATCCCGAATCTGGGGCCTGAAGGATCCAATTTTGACCCATGCCTGAGACAAGCAGCGAGAATTCACCCTTTATATCCTTTATATTTCCTTTATCTCCTTTTCTTTGTCATCTTTTTCTCATCTTTCCTCATCACTGATGGGATCACTGCGTTCGCGATGAGGCGATGATTGGACTATGGCATTGCAATTCTTCTCTGACATGATCACTGAAGCTGGTCAGCATCGAAGGGCGAGCATCCCAAGAGTTTGTGTTTTCGAACAAAAAGGGTCCAACATGGTCCAACTGATTCAAAAGCTATTCAAATCATACACGAAGGACCTCCCAGTTTCAATATATCCACCACAAATCCAATCCTTAGGGTAATTGTAAACCAGCTGACCTATTCTTTCGTGCATCCCAGTTACGAAGTGGTTCATAGATGTTGATATCCTATATATAAGGCACGTTTAACTAGTGATATAGCCATATAGCTGGATTATACTAATTTGTATATGTTATAAAGAATGTTCCTACCCCAGGACTGCCATGGATCCTCAGGCCAAGTTAGAACTCGATCGTCTCAGCGGTAATAGCAACTTGGAGAAACAGGGAACTCCAAGGGGATTGCTTTCTGTCCAGTGGATTTGGCGGACATGGGCTACCACGAAAAAGGTCTATGTCAGGGAATAGGGACATATATTGGAATGCGGAATATGGGTCAATAGACTTTTGGAGGTATAGCTCACATGTTTCTTTGGACCCAAATATTTGTTTTTTTATGTGAGGTACGATCAAAAACAGCGTAATTCTGAAGGAGGGAACCAAAATGCTATGGAACATGCATTAAATATCATTAAACATTGCAACAGTGTACCAAATATTGCCAAATTCGCAGCAGATTCATAGCTTGAGACATCATGGGACCAGGTACTGAGGCAGAGGTGGCGGGTTGCTCCATCCTGTGTGAATGATTCCCGCAGTGGGGGGGGGAAATTGGTGAAACACCTTTATAGCTGGTTGGTGGTTTCAAACATTTTTTATTTTCCATAATATATGGGATAATCCTTCCCATTGACTAATGTTTTTCAAGATGGTTAAAACATGTTAAAACCACCAAGCAGATAGCCAATTTCAGCCCTTTATCTGTATTTAGGGCGTTGGAATTAAGTGTGATGTTTTGAATCTCCTAAAAATGCCCTTGGGGAATCAAATGTGGCAATATGTGGCAATGGAAAATCATCAAGTTTTGATTTTCCCAGCTACAAACCCCCAGGACTCGGGGATTTTCCAGCCACGTTTGATCCAACGGCAGCAGAAGGATGGGATGATTTGGCCCAAGGTGTCTTGAAGAAGATGCCCAGATCCCAGTCCGTGACGTTCTTGGTGACGTGGCTGTCATGGATCCGTTGCCAAAGTGCTTTTCTTCCGTTTCGGTGGAGACCCCCCGAGTGAAATCGTTGTTGGTTTATGAAGCCATTAAACTATAGTTGGTAATATGTGTATATTGTGTAAAAATATATATATATATATATGATTATATATGTATATGTTACATACCTAACTTAAAACTAATATGTGGCACATGCACATTCCGTGTTTTTCCCCTTTTGCTTCATCGTGGGGCTGACAAAAGTCACAAAAGGCACCTTTTCGCAGACACTTCTCGTGACCAGGAGACAATGAGGGAACTGCAGATCATGCCAGATGAGACACTTGGGCTGATGTGGGGTGTTGGCTTATTCACCAATCTGGATTGTAACAACCTTTCGACGTCGCTAGAACGATAGTTAGCATAAGGGTAACTATCCCCAAACGGCCTCAAGCTGGTGACTTAGTGTATATAATTTATCCAGATCCCCAGCACGTGGCATTGCATGTTTCTTGTGACTGCTTGGTGGCCTTGCAACATAAGATATAAATTCCGAGCAGACGCCAAGCAATTCAGCGGTGTCCGACATGTGATATTCCGCTTGTTAGGGCACGGTGTTTGAATGAAATTGTTTGCTTGCTGAGATGTATACTGTCAACCTTTCAACTCACGATTGGTTCATTAATGCGGGTTACAGTAGCAATTGTTCGCAGTAATTTATCACCATTGTGATCCATTTTGGAAGTATCCCGTTAATCAACCAGTAAAAAGCGATATATAGATTTAGTGGGCTTAATAAACTTTGCTGGGCAAATAGTGATAAAAAGAGGCGGCCTTTTTGTTCACAGCAGTTCAACATAATTTAGCCCTTTCACGGGTTGACATAAAGCGTGGGATGTGGCCCTCGAACCGACTTGAACCCCCCCGATGAATCGGATATGGTCACTCCAAAATGGTCCCCAAAAAAATCTAACAAATAGATACAAATAGCGATTTAAGCAAGATGAGATCGGCAGGTAAAGATTGAATTTCACGGGATATGAGAGGCTAGATTGCTATTCAATGCTATTCATATACAGTATATATATATATATATACATATATGTATAAATGACCAACACTCTGAGAATTGCTTGTCTAAGAACTTGTGGTATACTCTTCAAATTGCGATTTTCATTGGGAAATTATGGCGAACCATCAAAATTTGACCTTATCTTCAAACAAACCCACGGACACTTTATTTTCATGGTCGTTGCTCATTGAAATCAGCGCAGTGCACCAGGATCTCCTATAACACCGCCATCCACGGTTCAGAGTGGGATCTTGCTTTGCACCTGTGACGCGGCCCACATAAATTTGGTTCAGTGGGTAATGAGCCTTACAAAAACCCAGGTATACATAGAATATTGTATCCCCAGCTGTATCTTGATCATAGACCACATCTATATATATCACTGGGATTCACTTCCAACTTCCAACCGATGGTTTACTGGTTGTTTGCTGCGTTTCAGTGAGAAACGGGCTTTCTCAATGGTATAACAACCTAAATATGCTGGGATGGCAAAAGCCAAGGGGGTATGCAACTACCATGATGCAGTTGACTGGCCCAAGCATGTTTTAGTTTCCATTTTACCTGAGAAATATCTCAACATGACCTGGCCTTGACCGTCGATTCGACTCAAACATCAACTAATGATGTGGCATATGTCTGTTGATATGTTTTACAAAAAGCTGATATAGATATTGTATGTGGTATATTTGATAATAGTGTTTACATAAAAAAATGAAATGAACTGTATATATTCCTCACAATATATGCTCGTAATGTGATATATAATGTGTGTTACATACACATACCCATATGCTCCATGTATGGAATATTTGCCTACATTTACCCCAAAAATTGCCCAAATGTAGGTAAATATTCCATACATGGAGCAAAACAACTTAAAATAACCATAGACCATAGTCCAACACAAGGGTCCCTGTGAATGGCCAAACTTTCAACCAGATTCTTTACATGAGGAATATTTTCAACCGAATTCACAACATCAGTTACAACATCAAGGGCAACATCTACAGTCAGTGGCAACAGTGATAGAGGCCACCATTTGATATAATGTATGCCATTTGCTTGCTCCATTTTGCTCCAATGTCAAGAACAAAACAGCACATTTTAAGTGTCTATATACATGTATACATACATATATATATATACATAATTATAATATCAATATGGATTGGTTAAAGGGAAAATCGACAGGAACCACATGGAACCACTTTTTTTCATATCGAGAACCAATGCATTTCCTGTAGATTTTCCCTTGAACCAATCCAGTGAACATAGCTGTATGATGCTGTATGGATGTTTTTGACATTTCAGATATAATCCAATTGTAGACCATTCATACATGAATTCAGCGATGTGACCAATTCAATCCCACTAACCAACCTATTTTGTTGGAACTAGGGCATCCCCTAGTGAACCAAGTTATGCAGTAACTTAGCCGTCACTTAAATCACCTATAAATCCATCACCGACAACATATCATTTTCTGTTTTTTCCCGATGAAATCACAATTTTCCCGTGGTTTCGTTTGGGCCCCAACTTTTTTTTCCGGATCCGAATGACATCGGACGACCAGAGGTTGCGCGAGCTAATCTCGGCCGACCTTCGCATCAACGTGGTGGCAGTTTCTTGAACGTTGTTTCGGATGGTGGTTTCGTCGTGTGCCATAGATCCATGGTGATTGATGATTATGTGGGGTTGTATGGGGTTGTATGGGGTTATATGGGGTTATATTGATATTACTTTATCCAAGATATTGGGTCGACCCAAATAAAACATATTTATATCGACTCTGTTGTCGGTCTCTCATGTCCCGGTCGACCCCAAGTTTATGTATATCGCATTTCTTTGATTCACGCGTAGGTTTGAGGGTCAATTGCTTGAAGGGTCCCTCTAAGCCAGCACTTGTTTCGGGGTACCCCCCTTGACGTAGGAAAACCTCCATGTCACTTCATGGTACAATGTACCCTCTGGTAAACATACAAAAAGCTATGGAGAATGGCCATAGAAATAGTGGATTTACCCAGTAATAGCATGGTGGATCTTTCCAGTTCGTTATGTAAACGTTTACCATTTCGGGTACATCAATCGCAAAGATCTGCGGCACAGGTCAGTTCGGCCATCAACTCATGTCAAGTGGCCAGTGAATGGCCGTCTGCTCTGGTGTTGTTCCAGCAGTTGGCAGACCACCGTCGCTTTGTCCGAGCTGCAGAACATTGGGGTAGTTTGAGTACTAAAAAAACAACCAGAAGTGAAGATTATAGAGGATATTGATAGGATATATATATAATTATATATATATATTATATTTAGCACAAATAATTTAATATAATATGATATATAATATTATATATAATACAATATGATATATAGTATAATGTTTGGGTTTATGTGAAAATCCTTAGAAGTCAGTTACCCCAAAATTTCGCGGTGTACCAATGTTTACCATTGTTTTCCCGCTTTATATTGCCGGTTTTGGGTATCCACCATCCTTTTCGTATCACTTGCTGGAAAACCATGGAAGACCAATATGAGTCTGGGGTTTTCTCTGAAAATAGGATGCTCTCAAAAATCACATGGGTTAGCATTCTTTACCATATTCCCCATTCAATGGCAATGCCTCTGGTAACTTCAACATCGTCATTTTTCCCCCATTTTTACCATGAATTGTCATACCTTGGGGTCGACCCCGACATCCAACATCGAGGCATTGAGCCCGACAAGATCGCCATCTCTGGCCTTTTCAGTGCTTGCGATGCCTGGCGGTTGAAGTGTACCCATACTGGGACCAAGCGGGAAAATACAAAGCCACAGAGGGACATGATCTTGGGATCATACAACTGATGTTACAACAGTGTCAGGTCACTTTACAGCGCTCAGGTGTGCAGATGTGTGCAGCTAAAAGGTCTCCTGTTTCCTTTGCAAAGCTAAAGCCTATGCGGCCCTGGGACATCGATACAAATTTGGGTCAGCAAATGTCAACAAGGAAATCAATATCACATATGATCATTGTTAATTGTTGATGACCTGGCAGCATATTTTGGATGGGAAGTTGTTGTGCTTTTCTTGCACATATACTAGAAATTACTGGACAACACACCTGCAATGTAAATCTCTAACTTTGGCCATGAGATCCATCGACTCCTCTTGGCTTACGGCCGCTCGACTTATGTTGGTTTTCTCGATGGAAACCGGTGAAATATGCGAGACACATTATCGAACTACCAGCCTAGAAACACACTGTTCTGTTATTTTTTTTTGGGGGGGGGCTTGCTATTGACATCTATTGATCATGAAGCACACATCAGTAGAATATGTGGTAACTCTTCCAAACTTGCAATTTCAGATATGTTTTCCTTCTACAACTACCACATTGTGGTTTCACTGGCAAGATTTCAAGTCTCAGGCCACTGTGAATTCCGGGCACCAAGGACAAGGGTGGTCAATGGCCAGTGATTTTGGACACTCTCAGCACTCCGGCAGGCGATTGAGCAGTTCATTGGTGTCCCTGTTTCCTATGTGTATATCGTATGTGTATATATATATATATGTAGATATTATATTAGTATACTATTAAAAACAATATAAATACATTATTTTTTATTTTATTTTAAAATATATACTATTATTATTATTGTAATAGTAAGTCCCAAAAAGATCGACCACATAGATGATGAGGATTTGCAGTAGGATTTGACACAACTTGCGGCCGGTTATGATATGTATATTAGATGTACCAACGGACAGCCGTGATGATGACCTAAACCGTGAACTCAGATGGGTCTCAAAAGCCTTGAATTTCCCGATGAAAAATAGCCCTATAGTTACCTGGTTGGTGGGGTTGGTGGTTTGGAACATGGCTTTTATGACTTTCCATTCAGTTGGGAATGTCATCATCCCAACTGACGAACTCATATTTTTCAGAGGGGTTGAAACCGTTGAATTGGCATTCCTCCATTACATATCACATATTATTCCAACCATTTGGGCATGATCTGAAGCCCTTTTGTATTGCGCAAGTGGAGAAACAGCTTCCAGTGGCCGCCCACAGATTTGTGGGTTATGAGCCCAACGCAATAGGAATTTTTCTTTGAATCCCCGGATTTGTCCCCATGGCCACTCCTGGAGAAGAGGATTTACTGGCATTGGAAGATAGACCTGCAGGAGAACCAGTGTCTTTTGGACCCCATATGTCGGGAGCTACCAACCCTTTTTGGAGTGAACGTGTGAGGGATGAAGCTTCTCTGATGGCAATGAGACCTGCCTTTTTGCCGGTTGTGGAAGGAAACTTAGGAGGACCAGAGCCGGCAGAAGGATCCATGGCAGTTGCGCACTTAGCTGCTTGTCGCTTGGAGAGAGTTGTACCAGCAGTGAACTTAGAAAACATGTCACCAGAAGCTAGAAGGGTTCAAGGGAATAGAGAATTACCTAGCCCAGAACAAGTTCCCATGGGAGGTGACCTCACGGAAGTTTTGAGAGCCATCTTACAGCAGAATCAGGTCTTAGCCAGAGAACTTGCTGTTTTGAAACAAAAAGTGGAAGGGGATCCACCAAGGGATTCGCAAACACCAGTGCTTGTCACACCGTCTTCATCTGTTGGAGGGAAAAAGGATGAGGAGGTTAAGGTCGAAGGAAGGGATGCGATTGAGCAGGGGCGTGTGAGTCCCATCGGTGTAGGAGTGGGTGCAGGCCAGTTTGGTTTGCATCCCGACGCTCCCGATGGTCCCGGTGAGACGGGGGTGGTCGCTGGAGGAGAGCTTCCGCCCCGAACTCCCGGATGCCCTGGTGAGGTGGGGGTGGGTGCTGGAGGAGAGTACTCACTCCGTGCTCCCAGGGGGCCCAGTGCAGCCTTGACGGCTCCTGGTGCTGGTGGGGTGTGCCAACCGGTTGTCAATTTGTTGGCCCTCACGACTCCGCCCTCGTTGCCAGCTCTCGCAAGGGATGCAGAACAGGCAGGTGAGGGTAGGCTCGGCGGGAGACCAGAAAGGCCAGGGATTCAAGGGCAGAAGGGAGATCAGGTCTCAGGAGGGACTATGTCAGGAATTCCAGGTTGGAGTTTGCCGGGGATTCAAGGTCAGAACGGAGGAATGCCCTTTGGGTTCAACTTGGGTGGATTCCAGCCAGGGGTGGGTGGTGGTGGGGGTGGCATTCCCACTTTCAACCAGCCGGCAGGAGGAGATTTGCCTTTTTGGCTGAAGTCGTTGGCATCAACGTCTGTGCAAGAGACCATTCGAACAGTGGAGCTTCCAAAACTGCCAGAGATTCGAGATGGAGAATTGGGATCTCTGGTGGAAGGAGATTGGATAGCCTTGGTGAGCCCGACGATGAAGGACTTGAGCGGCCAGAGTTGCAAGTGGTGGGAAGCGGTGTTGAGAGCCTCTTCAGAAGCTTACGCACAATGGCTGAGGGTAGACCCTCTCCAGAAGCTCTACGTGGCTCCGGAGGATCCATGTTTCCAGGAGCCAGCCTGGGCAAGGGTAGAACAGAGGGGACAGGCTATGATGCTTGCAGCAATTCCGGAGGGGTTGAAGGCAGAGGTCTTGGCCAATAGAACTACTTCAACAGTTCAGGTTCTTTTCAGGATCTTCACAAGGTACCAGCCAGGTGGGATGGCGGAACGTGCCCTTCTACTCCGACAACTGGTGGAGCCGAAGTCACACTCTAGTTTGGGTGAGATGGTGGAGCATTTGAGGGAGTGGAAGCGCTGGTTGAGGAGGGCAGGAGAACTTCGGATTGCGGTTCCAGACCCAACTTTGCTGGTGGGGGCCTTGGAGAAGCTTGGGACCTCTTTGGTGAAACAATCAGTTCAGGCCTCTTTCAGATTGAGCTCTGCTCGGGCCCATCTTCAAATTGATGTCAACCCGACGGAAGCAGGAGTCACCAGCTATGCCGATGTGCTCTTGGCAGAAGCTGAATCCGCCTTGCATAGTGGATCGGCCAGCGACTGCAAAGGTCAAATCTTTGGACACCGGCAAAGGAGTCAGAACACCAGAGAAGAAGGAAGGCAGTGCTGAGGCAGATGGAAGGAGGAGCTTTTCCACAGCGCCGAGCCAAGTACAATGCAAATTCTTCTTGACAGAAGGAGGTTGCAAGAAGGGATCGGAGTGTTCGTTCAAGCACGACTGGATGGAGGTGGACAAGTATGGGAGGTGTTGGCAGTGTGGAGCTTCCAATCACACCAAGAAGGACTGCGGGGTTAAGGTGAAGAAACCAGCAGAGAAGGTTTTGAAGGTCACCTCAGGGGATAAGAAAGACTCAGGTGCGAGAGGGTCGGAAGAGATGAAGCCCAAGTCGGGGGAGGGTACATCGGGTTCAGCAGGGAAGGATGCCAGAGGAGATTCGGGCACAGAGGGGTCCAAAAAGAGGGAAGAGGAGAAGACGGAAGGAAGCGCAGTAAGGGAGTTGATGCTTGAGGCTGCAGGTCTTCTTCGCTCTCTCAAGGGGCCGTCTCTTAACAAGATCGCCCTTAGTTCCCTCGAGGTGAGGAACCAGAGATCTCTTCTCGACGGTGGGGCCACCCATTGTCTCAGGAAGCCAGAGTCAAAGGAGGAGTGGGACAGTGCCAAGGAGGTAGAGGTCCACTTAGCCCAAGGAAGTACTATACTTCGTCAAAAATCTTGGAGCCGAACCTTGCTCACCCAGGACGATGTCCAACCTATCGTCCCTCTTGGGGTTTTGGTCGAATTATGTGGATATGCAGTTCGATGGGAAGGATCCAATTTTGAGCTCACAGACCAGAGCGGTCGCATTCTTGACACAACCCTGGAGGGAAGTTGTCCAACAGTTGATGAGGAGCTGGGTTTGGAGCTGATTCGGGAGATCGAATCAGAGGTTGTGAAGCAGAAGGTGAGGCTTTACGCTCTTCAGGGCAGGCACTTGACTGATGAGGAGAAGGGTTTGCTTGGGGAGGAGCAGGTGGGGTGGTTGCGGTTGCTAAGGGAGGTTTTCCCTTCTACTCCGGAGGAGGTCCTGGCGAGAGTGCCACCCACGTCAGAATGGAAGGGAGAGGCTCTTCCATGGAATAGAAGGAGAAGGAGAAGGATGATGAGGGCCAAGGAGATCGTCTTCCATCTTTTCTCAGGGCCAGATGCCCGATTTTGGGAGAAGGAGTTGTCAACCCCAGGCCGGGAGGTGATTTGCCTGGATCTGGAAATTGACAAACGACATGATCTGAGGAATGATCAGCTCTTTTCCTTCTTGGTCCATCTGTGCCAGAGGGGCACGGTGCGTGCAATCTTGGGGGGGCCACCCTGTCGGACCATCAGCCGACTTCGCCACACTCAACCAGGCCCACCGCCTTTGAGGGCACGGCAAGGACAGGGTAGGTTTGGGTTGCCGAATCTTGATGTCTGGCTCAGGAGGAGGGTGGAGGAGGATACCACTCTTTGGATGAGACAGCTCTTCCTGCATATGGTGGCGTCAGAGGCTTCCACGGCCGCGGTGGCATTTGTGAAGGAATCCCCACAGGATCCGGAGACTTACTCTCCAACTGATGAGGGAAGGGAAAAGGTGCCTTCGTTTTGGGCATTTGAAGAGTGGCAGGAGTTCAAGCGGCGATATCAGATGGAGGAGGTTTCATTTGATCAGGGGCCGATGGGACACCAGAGGAGGAAACCCACCACTCTTGGAACCAACATTCCAGTTTTGGGGGAGTTGGCAGAAATTAGAGGACCAGGGGTGGTGTCGGGATCCCACGGAGAGACCGTGGAGGAGAGGATTAGATCTTCTAAGGAATGGGCATCATGGGCGCCGGGGTTGAAGAGGGCGTTGGTGGTGGCATTGAGGCATTGGTTGGGGGGGGGCAGCTGATGAGGCTGTCATTGGAAGAGTGGAAGACTCATCTTCAAAATGACCATCTCCCATACCGCAAGGACTGCAAGACATGCCTGCAGTCTGCGGGAAAGGCCCGCTACCACAGAAGGATTGTGTCCCGAGAGGCTCTGACACTCTCCATTGATCTGGCAGGTCCCTTCCAAAAGGGGATCGATCAAGGACCAGCCGACAAGCTGGGAGAAGCTCGTTACTTCATGGCGGGTACTTTTACAGTTCCAGTCACCGCTGAGGGAAGGTCGCTGATGAAGACTGAGCCTGAGGCTGAGGTGGAGGAGGATCCAGAGGTAGTCTTGGAGGAAGAGGGTGAAAAGGATCAGGAGCCAGCCAATCCAGATGCACCAGATGAGGAGCAGAGGTGGTTGGAGAAGGTAGAGTTAGACATGTCACTCTCTTGGAGCCTTTGGAAGATAGAAGGGCGAGTGGGATTGTCAGAGCCTTATCAAGGATGTTGGGAAAGTTGAGGTATATGGGGTTGGATGTCCGTCGTCTTCATTCGGACAGGGCTGGGGAATTCACAGCCAACCAGGTCAGGAAGTGGACTGAGGATCGAGGCATCTTCCGTACCTTTACGGATGGGGACGGGTGGAAATCCAATGGAAGAGTTGAGAGTGAGATTGCCGTCCTGAAGAGAGGCATTAAGACCCTACTCAACTCAGCTGGTCTGGCTGACAACTACTGGCCTCTTGCGGCACGGCATTTTGCTGAAAGGAGATGGAGACAGCAGCTGACGGCCATGAACTATCCGGTACCCCCTCTGAAGGTCTTTGGAAGTAAGGCATGGGCGAAGGTGAAAAGGTGGGAGGATCGCTCCAATGCCTGGAGGAAGGCCAGAAAAGAGGTGATGATTCTAGGTCCAGATGCGACCATGTCCTCTTCTTCACAAGGTTACTATGTTGAGGATCAGGGTGGGAAGTTTTTCCATTCCGCAGACCTTGTGGAGGGCGCTGAACCCCCACAGGATGATGAGGATGAAGAAATTCGGGAAGAGATGTTCCCAGAAATTGAGGAGGAGGGGAGGCCCCCTAGGCGTTTGAGGAGGAAAACTGAGAGCGAGAGTGCCCAGTTGAGGAGAATGAAGGTGGAAGAGGAGTTGGTAGAAGGACGGGCACTAGAAAGGGGGGAGTTCCAACGTCTTCAAGACCTTGAGGAAGGATGGGAACCAGTGTATAAGGTGGCCAAAGAGTTGGTCACTGAGAACATGAGGTTAGAGCAGGAACTGAGAAGGATGGACAGTTTACAGAGGGAGGAGGATATGGAAGAGGCATTGGAGGTGGCGGATCAAGGGGAGGTCTTTCTGCAGACTCGCACAATCCCTTTGAGTGAGGTGCGAAGGGATTTGTCAAAATGGAGGGAGGCGATTCAGGAGGAGTACAGGTCATTGACTCAAACAGGAGCCTTGAGACCAATTGATGCAGAAGAGGCAGAGAGGTTGAGGAAAATGGCAGAGGAGAATCATCTGCCATACGATCGACTGCCCGGCAAAGCAGTCTTCACCAGAAAGGCTCCTTCAGGAAAGTATAAGTGCAGAGGGGTGGCATGTGGGAACTACATGGCATCTAGGCCTGCTTCAGAGACTTATGCTGGGGGAATTGATGCCACTCAGGTGAGGTCAATTTTGTGCTCCGCCGTTCAGAATCGGTGGGCCATCGCAGGCACAGACATAAAGTGTGCCTTTCTCCAGGTGCCAACAGGTAGAAAGAAGGATGTTATCGTTATTCAACCACCAGCGGTGTTTCATGAGGCTGGAGTGGTCACACCGCAAGAGCTGTGGCATGTTGATGGTAACATCTACGGCCTCACCACGTCGCCTCGTGATTGGGCGAACCATCGGGATTCCACTTTTCAATCCTTCACCTGGCAGTCAGATGGGGTGCCATGTGGTTTAGAGAGGACGAAAGAGGAGAACTTGTGGAAGTTGAGGAAAGAGGTAGACGGAAAGTGGGTTACAGCTGGACACTTGGCTGTATACATTGATGATCTGTTGGTCACAGGAGAGCAGACTTTAGTGGAGGATTTTTTGGAGCGGGTGAAGAAGGAGTGGTCAGTGAGTGAGCCATTCTGGGATCAAGATTCATCAGGAATCTTATGTGAGAGATCTGCTTGAGCGACATGGTACCACTGGAACGTCCACAATGAGTTCAGTGGTGACCCCAGAAGAAGAGGAGTCCGTGGAGGCGAGTGACGTCCGACTGGCTCAGGTTGCCACTGGAGAGCTTCTCTGGATGGCTACCAGGTCAAGACCTGACCTCTCATTTCCAGTTGCCATCATGTGCCAATGGGCAGTCAAAAGGCCGAAGGGTGTTTTGAGGATTGGAGAGGAGGTGAGGAAGTACCTGAATGGGTCAAAGGGCATGGGTTTGTCGTATCAGCCTTTGAGGGCAGGTGATCATGGAGTGGAGGGTTTGCAACACAAGCCGAGGAGGAGAAATGCCATTGAGGTCTTTTGCGATGCGTCATATGGATCGCAAGATTTCAAGAGCACTTCTGGTTTTGCAGTTTTCTACGCAGGATGTCCCGTTTTTTGGTTGACATGCCGTCAGCCCTTCATTGCCATGTCCACAGCGGAGTCAGAACTCCTAGCTATGATGGAGGGCGTGACTGCCTCAAGAGGAGTGAGCAGTCTTGTTGAGGAGTTAGAAGAGTGTTCATGTGAAAAATATCTCTTCAGCGATTCCAGTGCAGCCATTGCGATCGTCAACGGAAGCTCAGGAAGTTGGCGGACGCGACATCTGCGCATGAGATCCAGCATTTTGACAGAGGCAGTCAGAAACAAGGAGCTTTACCTACAACATTTTCCGGGAAAGTTCCTAGTGGCTGATGGCTTGACCAAGCAGCTGTCCAATGTTCTTTTCCGAAGATTCAAAGACGGGTTGAATCTGGTTGAGGAGAGTTTGAAGGTTGAGGAGGTTGCAGTCAGGCGTTTGGCCGGAGGAAAGTGTGAGAAGATGGAGAGGGCTCTTGGACTGCTGGTAACTTTATGCGGGGTATCAGAAGCACGAGGAGTGAGGTCTGAGGAGACAGAAGAGGAGGAAGGGGGAAATTGGGTTTTGGTTTTGCTTGTGGCGATCACATTGATCGTATGGAAGTTGGTGGAGAAGGTTGCCAAAGAAGGTTGGAGGATGCTTACCAAGAAACAGGAGGTGAGCATAGAGAGGTTGTCGACTCAGGCCAGAATGCCTGAAACCATGGGTGATTCAGTTGGAGGTTGGGGCATGTGTTCTATTGAGGAGAAGGTGCTCTTGCCAGGCGAGTCAGTTTTGGTAAGGACTGGGATCAAGGTCGAAGTACCTTGGGGAACCCGGGGGAGGCTGGCGGCAGGTCCAGAGATGGCCACTCAGAATGTAGAAGTGGGAACAGGCATTTTTCAGAAGGAGTTTAGAGAGGAGGTGAAGGTTCTGTTGAGGAACGGTGGAGGAAAGAAAGTGATAGTTGAAAAGGGATCAGTGATTGCTCGTTTGCATGTAGAAAAGGAGGTGCAGACATCTCTCAAGGAGAAAAGCTCGTCGTCTTCCTTCATCACTGAGGTCCCTTCTATCAACAGGCTGAGGGTGTCAGACGAAACACCGTCTTCAAGCTCAGCTACCAAGCGAGGTTCCAGCTCCACTGCCAAGAGGGTTTTGAGTGGGGAATGGAAATGGATAGGGCATGGATCAGAAAGCATGAGGAGTCTGATCCGAAGAAAGCACGAGGAATTTCCAGAGTGGATCCAAGAGAATCCATATCTAGAAGCACTTTGTGAAAAACCTAGTGGGCATGTAGGCGATTTGTGGCGCTGTCTGGAAGGAAGTGAAGGAAAGATCGTTGTCCGTGAACACAACCAATCACGGATCAAGTTTTACGTTTCTCTGGATGGTGATATTGCCAATAGGCCCACTATGTCATTTGCGTGGTATGAGACTGGTCAGTGTGAAGTGGTTTACTCCCAAAGACCAACTGCCACCAACTTCAAAGGCCGCTGGAAATGTTTCACAGTATGTCAATGGGGCTTGGGCCTACAAAATGCCGAAACGGCATTGGGGGAGCGTTGAATTGGCATTCCTCCATTACATATCACATATTATTCCAACCATTTGGGCATGATCTGAAGCCCTTTTGTATTGCGCAAGTGGAGAAACAGCTTCCAGTGGCCGCCCACAGATTTGTGGAAACCACCAGCACTTACTTAGTTGGTGGTACAGCCCATGTCCACAGCCACATGGGCCAAAGTTTCTGTGGATTGATACGAGTTTGTTTGAATTTGTGGACTTCTGAGAGTCTTGCTGGTTACATCTATGGTATATATAATGTATATTCATATATATATATATACATGTGTATATATATATATATGTGTATGTATACATATATGTATACATCTATATATATATATATATATACATATGTATGTGTATATAATATATATATATATGTATTATATTAATGAGTTGCAGTTGCAAATCTCAGTATGCCCTACTGCCCATTTCAACTCATGGCCCATCCCTATTCTTGTTTGACCCACTGGCTGGTGCCACAGCCATTGACCGCCTCTAATGATGGTTGAGATTGGCCCAAGTGGTGAATAAGCTCGACCCATAGACTCAGACATCCCGATTTTCAGCCCTCCTAAAGGTGACCTCTCCTATCCGAGATTCACCTTCAACCGACCTTCGTCACCTTGTGGGCCTGTTAAGCATGGGGTCACCCTGATCGACAACGACCAATTCCTAGGCGCCTTGCAGAGCGACTCCATGGATGCCCAGCTCTTGGTCATTGCGATGAATGCCTTGACGAAGAAGCAGCGCTGGCAGGATGCCATTGAGATCTTTCACCAGGTTGGGGTGCGCTGAAGTGGGCTGGGAACTTTGAATAAACATGATGGCTTTAAGATGCTCAAAGCGGGAATGCTGGAAATATACTGTAAT